ATCCTGTACAAATCTTGTTTTTTTGCAGATTTTACACCTCGAAAAAAGAGTTTATACACTTTTCTAATTAAATTAATAAACCAGGAATTTAAAAAACTAATGTATCAAAAAACATTAATTTTCTCAATTGTTGTGTTTTGGACTTAGCCGCATTGGCTTCTGAGCGACTCATATATTAGTTCAAAATGTAGAGAAAACATGGAAAAAATTAGAGAACAACGAAAAGTAATAATAAAAATAAAATAACAAGAAACCGGAAAAAAATCCGAAAAAAGGAAGAAAACAATTTATAAAAATCCGAAAAAAGGAAGAAAACAATTTATAAAAATCCGGAAAATAAAAGATATAATCTTCCTATCCGCTCACACGATTATATCCGCAAAAAGGAGTGCTTTTTTTTAAATTTTCTTCGCGTTTTTTTTCTTTTTGCATCCATCCATCCATCCATCCATCCATCCATCTATATATCTATATATATATCTATCTATATATATATCTATATATACACTAATCAAAAATACGTTTACTTGAGTGTTCCCGCAAAATTTTCCGTTTTCGTGCAGGAAAGAAACATAGTTTGAAAAAGGAATACTTTATTTACGAGGTGTGATACCGCGCACCCTTGGTCCCTACGCAAGCTGATCACTCATTTTTTACATTCAACGATGCTTGACTTTGGTGTTCTACTGGAACCGTGTCTTTACTATGTGCAGGTTTATTTTGATAGGAAAAGAGTACCAAACATAACTTAAGCTGTTGGAGTCACGTGCGGAATTTATTTTACATTGTAGACGTTACTCATTCCATATTAATAATTTTTTTTTTAGGATCGTAATGCTATTGTGAACAAACTGCAATATTGGCCTGGTGGCATTATTCCTTATGAAATTGATCCTGGTATAGATAAAACAGTCCGTAAGTGTCTATTCTTTTACTTTATTCTAAAAAAATGTGCAGAAAATTAGCATAAGAAATAACACGATTCAATTTATATATAAGTTCTTTCCAAGCTCTTTGAAAAGAAGCAGGGCATCAAAATTACAATTTAAAATTTTGTTTTTTCCGTGTACAAGATTATTATTTTTGCATTCACTTTGAATGGCAAAACATGAATTTGGAATACAAGTTAAATGATCCTAAAAAACTGAAACGGAAAGATTTACATAATAATAGGAGATTCGTTTGCTTCAAACTATATGAAGATGGTGGTAAGAGTCGAAACGCTTCGAGCGCTCGAAAATTAATGATCCATTTTCAAGACTCGCCAGACATGATTGAGTGAAACAAAAAAGATTTAAAACAGAAAACGTAAAGTTGCCGATGAAAAATAAAGTTGAAAACCGCAGTGGCAGAGAGTGAAACAGAAAATTAGTTGTAGTGCGCTGCACTAGAGCTGCATAATTACCGATGTTCTGATCAGAACACATGAAAATGAGAGGTGAAGAAACAAAGCCAGGCAAATCAGGCCAAAATGCTTATCGAAGCACTATGGAAATATGATCTCATGTTGTTAATAAGATAATAATTATTTAATAATTCTGGTTTTAATGGATGTTTCTCTTCTCGGTTCAAAATATGAAAACGTGCATTCTTACAAAATATCCTGCTCTAAGAATAGATTTTTCGATCGCTCGATCTTCTTAAAATTAGTTATACGACATGGAGATTTTGGCACTCATTCCAAATTCTTTCAACTTTCGAAATGCAAACTATCTTTTGACAACCGAATTTTCGAACAATCCAGTTCATAATTTACATGTGACGTCATTATTCTTTATTTCATTGCTCTTCTTACCAATATTTTAAGTAATTTTGCCTGAAAAACTAAATACAACAGAGAAAGTTCAAATTTTTTAAGAACAATAAAATTCAAATCACGATTTTTAGAAACTATGGGAATTCATATTCTTACTAAATCTTTTTTAACTGCTACACTTGAAATGCACCAATCAGATTCTTAATTTCTATGTATATTTTATGTAAATTTTTATTTTGTCAGACTAAAAAAGTATTTTTTATCAAAATTTAATTTTTACTATAAGGTGTTTTCAAAGCTTTTTAATGGAACAAGAAATCGTGTGCTTATCCCGAAAAGAGAAGGATTTCCATCTTCTCTTAAGATTAAAACCGATTCAACTTTTTCAATTGTTTCCGAACGACAGCGTCGAAACGATTCTCTAAGATAGATTAGAAGAAACATCAGTGTTCTGAGTACCATCCAAATATATACCGGGCAGTGGCCCTGAACCGTAAAAAAAAAACATCAGTGTAAGGTGTACCGGGAAGTGGCCTTTAACTAGACCTGGTATACAGGGTGATTCTAAAAAGATGGGCAAAATTTTAGGAAGTGATAGTACACACCCAAGCAAACAATTTTTATCAAAGAATGCCTGGTCGAAAACAAAATGCAAAGGTGTTGGCGTATTTGGAAAGTTGTTTGATGCAAACGTGAAAGCTCCATTCCTGTTGCAAGTTACTGCGTTGCGGTACTTGTCGCCAAGCTTTCGGCCGCTGCAGGGAAAGTTCGTGATATGCCCTATCTTTTCTTCGCCGTTGTACTGCGTGCATAGCCGCTGCCGACCACTGTTTTGAACACTTATTGTAATCACATGCCATTAAATTTGCTTTTATAACTTAACTTCATCGTTCTTTGTGTGTTTTTGCCTCATATAAGAACATAAACTTTGACGCCCTCTAGCGGTTTTGCGTTTTGTTTTCGACCATGCATTCTTTGATAAAAATTGTTTGCTTGGGTGTGTACTATCACTTCCTAAAATTTTGCCCATCTTTTTGAATCACCCATTTACCAAAAGCGACTATGTGACTGTCAACATTCACCGGTAGAAGTCACAACAACCAACTTCGGTCAGTCATAGTAACATACATAAGTCATGAATGAAGACATTTGATATGAGTGATTTTTTCATAAGGCCCTGTTGATAGTGGATGTTCTGTTAGTTTTTATAACGTTTTAAATTTGTTCCTTATTTAAATGGATTTATCTGGAAAGAAACACCTCTCTTGTTATAAAAGTTACTGCAGTGCATGAGGTCCTATCATGGCAAAAATAAGTACCAAAATATTACAAAATATTCATAATTTTTATATTTATTAATAAAAAAATAATAAAATGCAGACTGGGGAGAGAATTTTGGCCGAAAATAATAGCAAATCGAGTGGCGATTGGCAGCATCACCATTTGTTATAATTTGGCCGTCCTGTTCCCAGTACCATGTTATTGAAAACATATTTTTAAGAAAGATGACGAAACTCGTTTCTTGATATTCCAGAAAATCTGTTCTGTGCTTCCCAGTGCATTTCAGTTTAGATATTTCTCATTATTTCTAAGGTAATCATCTTGTTCGCATACAAGTTTTATTTATTATGATCACTTTCTTTTTCACCCATTGGCATAATGGGTCTTGGTCTGGATTTGATGGCGTTCACACATTTTTCAACTGTGTTCAAGAGTAGTGCGCATGCGTTGCCATGGCGACCGCAGCTGTTCTTCTTTTTATCTTCACTAGCAGGCGTTTTTAATGTATTTACATAATAATAATTTGAAGTATTTTTATATTCCTTTTATTATTAACGTATAATGACTTGCTTGACTGTGATTTCAATATAAATACGAATGCTGAAGAAGGAAAAGTATTATGTGACGTCTTGAAACACGTACATAGGCAGGATATGAATAACCAATCCGACGACAAACATCCATTGAGACAGTTTTTGCAACCCATGATTTGAAGTGTTGCGGCGTTTATCGGAGTCAATCCAGAAAGAAAAAGCATTTGACCAATGGGTAACCAGTGATCGAAATAAGGCAATCACAACTTTTTTGTTGATTTTTTTTTAATTGTTTTTAGGTGCTATTCTCATGTAGGCAAGACCGGAGGGCAACAACCATTATCTCTTGGACCAGGATGTGGCTATATGGGAACAGTGTTGCACTAGCTGGCCCATGCTATCGGCTTCTATCATGAACAAAACAGATCAGATCGAGACGAATACATAACTATTTTTTGGGAAAACATCAAAGAAGGTTTCGTTACGCCTTTTATTGCTTACTAAAATAGTGTTTATCTACGAGGGTTGTTTATTAAGTAAGGGGCCGCTTGAAAATAAAAGCCAAACGAAAGAAAATTTTCAGAATCAAATTTATTTTCAGAATCTATACATACGCTTCTTCTTTTTCCCTAACATAGCTGTAAAGGCTGGGATAGCCTGGTTGGTAGAGCACTAGGTCCAAGAGGTCGTGGATTCGATATCCACCGGCCGAAAACTCTCCGTGCAGTAAATGGTGACTAATGCACGCTAAATCTGTATAGTCACAAAGTTCTCCATGTTCCCATAACAAATCATACCTCTGGGGGTACTGATCCAGGAGTTTCCTTGTCTTCTGGATTGGTTCAAAAATGCAAGGTTATGGAGTTGAACATTAGTAGTTGTAAACCAAAAATTAGGTCGGCTGTTCAGCGAATGTTACAAAAAAAAACAAAACAAATATAGTTGTGAATTCTGTTTAAACACTTATCACACCTTACAACTAGATTTAGAATACCCTCTTCATACAAATTTGCAGCCTGCTCCGTTAATCAAGAGGTCACGGCCGTTTTCGCGTATTTCGTCATTGTTGTAATGATTGCCGCCAAAATGATGCTTGAAATATCGGAAAAGAGGAAAATCACTCAGCGCAAGGTCTGGACTGTAGGGACGGTAGGTCCAAAACTTCCCAACCAAAAGAGTCATTGTCATAGAGTAGCAAAATTCCCTGTCAGCATTGCAGGGAATTTTGCTACTTTAACAGTCGTAACTTCACAAATCTGCCAGGGTATTTATGCAGCAGACAGGTTTTCTGTCGGCTAAAAACGCATTACTGACTGTATTTCTTGCGTGGAAGCAGATTTGTTTAAGTTGAACGTTTTAAAGACACAAAACTGACCGTACAGTTTACTTACACAGCTGTTACTGAGCACAGTTGTTTCCAATGAATGCAGGAACACGACTCAAGCACTCGTTACGACGCACGTGTCACGTATTAGCGTACACAACAACACGGACTTTATTTAAAAAACAACCCTCGTACATTTAGACTTTTTTTATTAATGTTGCTTCCATTCTTCACTGTTAGTTGCAGAAATATGTCAAAAAAAAAAGCATAAAATAAAAAGCTTAAAAGACTCTCGTAACTAAACAATATAAACTATTCCTGCCGGAAAAAAAAATTTCGTTTTCGTGTTTTGCTGTTAACTCTGTCTACTAACGAAATAAGACCTTCAGATTTTAGGATTACGATTATTAAATGAAAATGACAACAACCGATGCCATTGGTGACTGTAAAACATTATATTTTCTGTCGAACTGAAAATTTTTGCGCAACTTTATTTTATTTAGCGCTACGTTGTTGCTGTTTATGATGAAACATTGTTTTATAATTTTATCTAGTCATCTGCACCGACTGTAACGAACTTTGTAATTTACTGGAAGATAAATATCTATAAAAGAAACCTAACTTATAAGGCTTATTAGGCTATTAAGCACACCGCACACGTCTTCTTTTCTTTAAGAATTGTTTTTTGTTTAATATTATGGTTGACAAATTGCACTAGTTCCATAAGAAACTAAATATATTTTCGCTATTTTAAAATTATAAATAATATTTATGTTTTAACTATACAATTTAGTTGAAAGGGAAGTTTAGTTAAATAATCGATGGAAATTTAATTATATTTTTTTAAGAATATTATTATTAATAATAATAAGCTGCATTCTTTATTGCTGAATTCATCAAAAACTATAATCTATCTTTTTCTGCTAACAGAACCGCGTAAACAGAACAGAGTAAAGCATCATGAATGGTATGCTTTAAAAAGATGATCGAAGTCCATTGTAAATGCTAGTTTTGATTTTGTGGTCGAAGTTAAAATGATATTCCACTACGTTAGCGCTCCAAGATCTCTTATTTTCACTTACGTAAGTTTGATATTTTTTCATGGGCGCATGCGCATTTCACCGGAACTTACGCATGCGCACTAGGTTGTTGTTGTTAATTTACGTCGCACTAGAGCTGCACAGTGGACTATTGGCGACGATCTGGGAGACATCCCGGAGGATGATCCGAAGACATGCCATCACAATTTTGATCCTCTGCGGAGGGGATGGCACCCCTGCTTCGGTAGTCCGACGACCTGCGCGCGAAGTCGAGCACTTTACGGTAGCACAGTTTAACGAGGACCAATACCGCACACCCTCAGTCCCTACGCAGACTGATCCAAGTGGTCACCCACCCGCACACTGACCGTAGCCAGTGATGCTTGACTTCGGTGATCTGCTGGGAATCGTGTCTGAACGATCAGTCCACTGCGGGACGCATGCGCACTAGGAGTGCTCATGTCCAATTACATGAGATCTTACGTACGGGAGAGTACGGAAGCTAACGTAAATTTGTGAAATCTCCTTAGTGATAGGCAAATTCAGGAACGATGAATAGTTAGTTTTCACATTTAATAGATTTAAAATACATTACTGTTTCTTTACAGGTTTGACTGATCAGTTTTTCTTGTTGAAACCTCACCAGAATCAGCTTCTCTCCACCTTTGATTACGATTCCATCATGCTGTATGGCTCTTATACATTCTCCAAAGACAGGAGAAATCTTAAAACAATGTTAAGGAAAGACGGTGGCCTTATAAGGGAAGTGATCAACAAGAACATGTATAGTAAATCGGATATTGCCCGAGTCAACAAATTGTATGATTGTCCAAACCGCTCTAAAGTCTAAACAAAATAAAGTCACATATGCTAAAATCATGTTTTCGTATAATAGTTTTGCTTGTATTTTTCTTTTATGGGAGTGTCTCTGAATATAGAACATCGTCTTAAGTTATTTTGTTTTATTTAGCAACCAGCATTGTACATTTAACCCAATCTTGGGTTTTACAATCAAGGTTCCTTCCCGCTACTTTGAACTTAACCCAGAAGACAAGGGAGCTCATCTGTCTAGCACTGGAACAAACTAGTACTAAATGGAGGATTTTTTAATGGAATTTACTATCATATGAGTTACAAAGAGAGAAAAAAACCCACAAAAACTCCCGTGGTTAGCCTGATGACAAGGGGACTCTAATCCGTGATCCGTCTACCATTGAGGATATTTTACGACAGCACTGATTTTTGTGTGAGCTTGGAGCCAAATTTATCGCCAACCAAAATTTCGACCACTTTAAAGCATAAACATACACAAAATGTTTCCTCAAACCCAAAACAAGAACCGAGGTAGCAAAGAGATAAAGTCTTGCCAGTTCAATAACCTGATTGTTTCAAATTATTAAGTCCATCCAGTGGTCGGAGTGCGTTACATGTAGCGGAACTACTGTAGTCGCTATTATTTCCGTAGTTTGTAGTTCAGTGAGCTATTTTTTAAGAAAAGTAGTTCACTGAGTAGAGTGATACAAAAATAGCAACATTTAATTATCAAGATGGTAACAAAGTCAACTGGTTTAACAACCTAATATTTTCTCCATATTTCAATAACTTTCATTTAATAATTTTTATTTTAATAACTTATTAATTTAATAACTTAATATTTAAATTTTTTTTTATTTACTTTAATAGCGATGCTTTCTGAATTCTTATGTTTTCTTTAAAAAAAAAGCATAGGAAACTGAAACAAAAATAGTTGTAATATTCAATAGTGGATTGCAGTTTTAAAATGAAAATTAATAACCGGTTTTAGTTCAATATATTAAACAACATGTAATATTAATGCATTAGCTAAATGTACTAATCTCCTTCTTTGAAATCACAATTATAATAAAATATAAGACTTCTCAAAAATAATATTAGATTATTTATGCACAACAGAGATCCTGCAGACAATAAAAAATACTAGTTGAATGGTTAAGTTATTTTAACTATTAATTAATTTAAAAATTGGTCCGAAACAGTGGAATCGGTTGGTAACAGTTGTTTTTCAAATTTAATTGATTGAAAATATTTTATTAGAGTACGAAAAAAGGCAAATTTTCGAATTGATTAGAATTAAATTTCCGATCTTTTGCATGTCACTTATTACAATTATTTTAAAATATTTGCGTTTAAGCCCTTACCGCGTTGCGGTCAGGCCGACAGGCAAACACCAATCGTTTTGCTTTAACCAACATATTATGTACTTGTAAATAAAACATTAAAAAAAACTTTAAAAAAAAAAACTTATATATTTTTATATATAACTTATATATTTAACTTATATATTTTATAAAAACTTATATATTATAGTCAGGCTGCTCCTTAGACTATTTGTGAATTTACAATAAAATTAGTATTCAATACAACACAATATGAAAGCATATTTTGCGTTATAAAGTAATCGCTCAATCACTTATATATTATAAAACCCGCTTTCTGTTGATAATTTTCACACAAATGAAATCTAAGTGAAGCAACATATGATGACTCAATTATGAAGTTAATTAATTTTTAATTGAAAACTTTAACTGTTTTACATTCAAAATATTAACTGTATATATATTAGATTCATTGTAATAAATAAAATAACAGCGTGAATTAAAATTTTAAACATCACGCTTTATCGAGTGAGGCAAGAAGAAGAGAATAATTCGATTTTGTGACACCCAAAACAAGAAAGTCCTTTCTAAAGACGGAGAGAGGGCCATCGTTACAGGCACGAAATTGAGTTAGTTCCGTTAATAATAATAATAATAATAAATGCTGTTGGTAGTAAGAAAACTCTTATAAATTCATGGAGAACTGTCATAGGTTTCCCAATATTCCCAGAGATAAAAAGAGTTGATTTTTATTTCCGTTTTTGTACTGAATTTGAGCTCTTATCCATAAAAATTAGTTAAAGTTCGATAATTTTCGTTTTATATGAATATTAACTTGAGATGTACATTGAAAATGTTTTTAACAAAAATTCGAAAAACATATTAGAAGACTTTACAGAACACCCGAAAATTTTGTGAAAAAAATTAGGTTATATTTTGCAGTATTGAAATTTAAAAAAAATATCTTTCGAGACAGGATAGTTATATAAAAATTAATAAATAAAACACCAAAAATATCAAAATTATTCAATTTTGCTCTAAAATCACAAAATGCGTGATTAGTGTTAAAAACTCTTCAAAGAATTAATAGAAAAATTTTGATTTCCACCAAATCCTCTGCGAAAAGCGTTACATTTGGCAGTTATATAAATTTATTTATTTTTGCAAATTTACTTTAATTTTATTTAAGAATTTTTTTTATTTATTTGTATTGATGTTCTTAATTACATTTAAGGAGAAACAAAATTTTTTAAGTGCTTAGGGCCTCTGAGGTTCTTAATCCGGTAGATATCTTGCGTAAAATTTTAAACAAAATTTCGACACAGTTTTACAAATATAGCACAAATATAGCACTTTTTTCCCACCTTCATTGATGCAAATATTCTTTAAAAGATAAGAAGGGGGAAAAATGAGTTCTTTTTCTCTTGAGAATTCTAACACCTGCTGTAAATTTCTCGAAGAATGATTTAGATAAATGCAAATCACGTTTCCCATCCCAGTGAAAATTCCGATTTTGTTTAGGAGTTAGCTGTGAAAATGGAGTCCCTGATTTTGTTCGGAGTATTTTTCGTATTTTCGTGTCCTTTCTATGTGGCTGTCAAAGGTAATATATGTTTAAAATTAAAGAAATAATCAATTTATTATGTTTTTTATATAAAAAAATATATTAAATTTAAAATACTTAGACTAAAAATGGAAATTAGTGTGGATTCCTAGCAGTGCGTCTAAGCAAAAATTTATGAAATGCAATTTAATATTTTTTTAAACCTATCAACAATTGGAGTTGTCAAGTTTTAAATTGTACTTCTCTTTCATTTGAAGACAGGACAATAATTTCTCAGGGAAGAGTTGATTTATGGTGCTGGATATTAATTGGGAAAAAATGGTTTACCTCTATTTTCCTTTTTACAGAGAAGACTGTTGGATTTTGTGCATTTCGAGGAATACTAAGTTATCCCAAATAACAACTGAAGTAATTGATTCAAGTTACAAGCTTATTGCTTGAATTTCTGGCATAAAGTGTTCAAAAATAACAGTTCTCCATCGTAATTTATTATAGGTCTCCCAATCCTTTGTAAGTTTTAAATCTTGCAGCTAAGTATGAAATACCGCAAGAACTATCACTAAAGTTACAAAATAATCCTTTAAGTATTTTTTGAGAAATTTAAAAAAAATTTCAAAAACTGAAAGCTTTTCCATTATTATTATTATTATTATTATTATATATATATATATATATATATATATATAANTTTTTTTTAATCCACATGCATTTTCTGCACAATTTTTAATCAAATTTAAAACATCTTTCTGTAAGCCTGGAGCACAAGATAATTTTGCGCGCCATTGCTTTAACGTACTAGCACTTGGTAGAGGTAGGCCAATTTTAAATTTCCAAAAATCATATGCTTTTGAAGAAAGAGGACGTATAATAATACATCGTGAAATGTCCTCTGTTGTCCACCTGACATTTGAAGTACCCTTCATTAAAGATTGTATTTGAACTCGTGTAAAAACTTTTTTTTTTTACACTTTTTTCTAAATTATGCATTTTCTTAAAAGCTTGTTCCAATTTCAACAATACCCTTTTTTTCTCATAATTTTTTTTCCGATTTTTTTTTTAAATAAAATTTAATCCTTTTTTTTTCTTCTTTTTTTTAATACTGTTGTTTGTTATTTTTTTACTGATTACTTCCCCCCTTTTTTTTCATTTGTCTTTAATTTTTCTTTGTTTTATCTTCATTTTGAACTTTGATAAATAAAATACGTTAAAGATATAATCTGGTCATCAGCTCACACGATTATATCTGAAAAGTATATAGTGCTTTCTTACATCTCATTAATATAGCCGAAGCAGGATTTATCAGCACAATGGTGCGAGGAGCACCAAAGCAAATTGAAACGAAAATAGAACTTATTAAGCAAAAAATATAAATAAAGCAAAAAATATAAATAAAGCAAAAAAATGTAAAATAAAACGAACAAAAAAATGCAAAATAAATCAATAAAAAATAGAAAATAAAAATTCAAGTAAATAGAGAATAAAATTCAAAATGTAATATATAAAGCAAGTAGTGAATTGAAATGTACTTATACTAACAGGCATTTTTCAGAAATGATTTTAAATGTTTTTGTTACAAGTTTGACAGATTACAAAATAAGACAAAATTTGACAGGTAATAAGAAGCTTGCAGTGCATCCTAGTGTGTTAACCATTCATACAATTCTGGCGAACAACATGTAAGTAATACATTTCATAATACATAATTTACAATACACAATTTGCGTGAAGTAACACATACTCGCAAGTTTTGCAGATATACAAAGTGACAAAAAATCCCTCCCTCCTCAAAAGTCTGATCGTTAAGACACGGTACCCAGCAGATCACCGTAGTCAAGCATCACTGGCTGCGGTCAGTGTGCAGGTGGGTGATCACTTGCATCAGTCTGCGTAGGGACCGGGTGTGCGGTATGGGTCCTTGTTAAACTGTTCTACCGTAAACTGCTCGACTTCGCGTGCAGGTCGTCGGGCTACCGAAGAGGGGGTGCCATCACCTCTGCAGAGGATCAAAATTGGGATCATCCTCAGGGATGTTTCCCAGACCGTCGCCAATAGCCCATTGTGCAGCTCTAGTGCGACGTAAATGAACAACAACAAAATATAAAAATAGAAAGTTAAATAAAGGAAAGGTTCAACTTATGGCGCGTTCTTATTGAAGCACAGGAGCGCATTTGATTTTTAGTAGCCTTGGATTGGCCCGAACTGGTTATGTAAATGGTAATAATATTATACAGGATAATTCAAAGTTTATAATTGATAAAGTTGAGTCGTGGTGGCTCAGGGGATAGAGCGTTCACCTTCCAACGAAGTGAACCGGGATTGAATCCCAGCGATGCCTGGTCTATATGAATTCCGCACCAGGATCGAACGTACCAAAGTGCTAACATAAAATATCCTCAGTGGTAGACGAATCATGGGTTTCGTTGACGTCAGACAAACTGTGGGAAGTTTTCGTGGTTTTCCTCTCCATGTAACACAAATGCTGCTTAGTTCCATTAAAAAAGTCCTCCAAGCAGGCATATTTCTCCCAATACTTGATCCAGGAGTTCCCGTGTCTTCTGGATTGGGTTAAAAATTGCAAAGCTACGGAGATGAGAATTAGTAGTTGTAAACCCAAAATTGGATCAGCTGTTTAACGACGGTTATAGAGTAAAATAAAAATAATATAGTTGAATTTTAATTTTAAAATTTTAATATTAATAAGGTGAAATTTAGAGAAATTATTAATATTTAACAAAAAAAAATTATTTTAAAAAATTCTCTTTTAAATAATTTTAGCCACGGATTTGCTCGAATTGGATTTGTGCATGGTAAAAATATAAATTTAGTTTGCAGAGAAATTTTTAATTATAGCATACAGTTAACTTAACGATCTTCTATAGAACTTAATTACATTATTTGGATATCCATTGTTTTTTTATTAAATTTTGGATGAGATCGTCAATTTGATTTTTCGATAAATAAACATTACTACAAATTATTTTAATTCTATTTATTTGTTTAAAAATGGCATTTAAGTAAACGTTTTTAGAAGCATTAGAATTCCATGTAATAAGTTTATTTATGTAAAAAAAATTTAAATCTTTTATCGTATAAATCCAGAATGCAGATTTTTTCTTCTTTTTTTAATAATTAAATCGAAAAAAATTAAATTAATATTAACGCCATGATTGCGAAGTATTATTTAACAAAATTGTATAATTTTGAAAATTAAAGATAATTAAATCACCAATAAAACCAGAAACAAATTCAAAATTCAGAGTATAATCTATTTTCGTAATTTGTGTATAAATAATCTAGCTAAGAGTGGTGAATAAATAGATACTTGTGGTTATTACATCAATTTGAACCGAAATTTGTTTTCCATTGTCAAGATAAGCGAAGCTTGACCCCGACCCGCCTCCGAAGGAGGCATCCGGGAAGACTGAAAACCATCGTTGGAGAACCCTCGAATCGTACGGTGGACCCGGCGGTGCATGGACACCGAGTCACGCCCGACGAAAGCAACACGGACAGAGGAGGCCGAAGGGACAAGCCCGAGACGGGTGCGGCGGTGCCATGTTCGGCTGCAAACGACTCACTAGGAGTGTGGCACCGAGAGACGACCGCCACGCCACGACCCATCGAGGCATCCTCTGACTGGAAGGTTCCAAAAACCTCAACAATTTTATTATAAAACACATTACAACAAATGGACCACCAACTCGGTGATCAAACAAAGAACATTAAATTAAATTGAAATCAATTACAAGCATTAGCACCCCAGGAAGGGGTGGAGGACGCCATAAAACGGCTCACAAAAATTGGGTCAATATTTGATATGTTGTCTCAGGGCTGCAATTGCTCTTTGGAACGATGGGCAAGTTCTTTGGTTTGCTGAGGGATTTACGTTGAGCTTTAAACCGAGTCTTCGGTTTGCTGCCTCGCAGTTTACGCATTTGCTCTTATTTTTGCAGTTATTTCTCTTGTGCCCTTCTCCGCCGCAATTCCATTGTCAAGATAATTATTACAAAGAAAAAAAATTAATTAGAATTTTCCAGTAATCAAAATCGCAAATAAGCATATTTTTATAATCATAATAATAACTCGTAATAACATCTTTTAGTTTAGTAAGGGGAATCAAATGCATCTTGGAAATCAAAAGTCGCAATAGAATTTTAACTTGTTTACTGATTTCTAAAATCGGTTGATTATTAGTGATAATCCAATAAAAAACCTTCTTGAATAATATAGTTAATAGTTTCATTTAAGTAGTTGGAGAAAATGGTGCTAGGTTTAGTTAAGTAAGAATTAGATCCACAAGNTGTCTTCTGGATTGGGTTAAAAATTGCAAAGCTACGGAGATGAGAATTAGTAGTTGTAAACCCAAAATTGGATCAGCTGTTCAACGACGGTTATAGAATAAAATAAAATTAATATGGTTGAATTTTAATTTTAAAATTTTAATATTAATAAGCTGAAATTTAGAGAAATTATTAATATTTAGCAAAAAAAATTGTTTAAAGAAATTCTTTCTTAAATATTTCTAGTAACGGATTTGTCCGAATTGGATTTGTACATGGTGAAAAAATAATTTGATTTACAAAGAAATTTTAAATTGTAACATACAATTAACTCAACGATTTTTTTTAGAATTTAATTACATCAGTTGGATATCCATTTTTTTTAATTAAAATTTGGATGAGTTCGTCAATTTGTTTTTTCGACATTACTACAAATTCTTTAAGTTCTATTTATTTATTTGTATTTAAGTAAACGTTTTTAGAAACATTAGAATTCCATGTAATAAGCTTATTTAAATAAAAAAATTAAAATCATTTCTTTTATCGTATAAATCCAGAATGCAGATATTTTCTTCTTTTTTGATACTTAAATCGAAAAAATTAAAATTAATATTAACACCATGATTACGAAGCAACATTAATTCCTCGGGGTAAATATTATTTAACAAAATTGTATAATCTTGAAGATTAAAGATAATTAAATCATCAATAAATCTAAAAGCAAAATTAAAATTAAGAGTATAATCTTTTTCATAATTTGTGAATAAATAATCTAGCTGAGAGTGGTGAATAAATAGATACTTATGGTTATTACATCAATTTGAACCTAAATTTGTTTTCCATTGTCAAGATAATTATTACAAGGAAAAAAAATTAATTAGAATTTTCCAGTAATCAAAATCGCAAATAAGCATATTTTTATAATCATAATAATAACTCGTAATAACATCTTTTAGTTTAGTAAGGGGAATCAAATGCATCTTGGAAATCAAAAGTCGCAATAGAATTTTGACTTGTTTACTGATTTCTAAAATCGGTTGATTATTAGTGATAATCCAATAAAAAACCTTCTTGAATAATATAGTTAATAGTTTCATTTAAGTAGTTGGAGAAAATGGTGCTAGGTTTAGTTAAGTAAGAATTAGATTCACAAGTGATTGTTCTAAATTGAATAGAAATTTTGGACTGATTTTTAGGCATGAAAATTGTATATTATAAGTTTTAATTTTCAACCTCTTATATGAAGCTAAAAATTTTTTAATGATAATATTATTATTTAAATTACAAAGATTAAAATTTCGATGATTTTTTAGCTCCTCATTTAAAAATTTCAACGTAGAACATATTTTCTATTTTTGCTTGATTGTTTTATTTTGCATTTTTTTTGTTATATCTTACATTTTTTTGCTTAATAAGTTCTATTTTCGTTTCAATTTTTTGGTGCTCCTATCGCACTATTGTATTGATATATTTGGCTACATTGATGCAATATTGGAAAGCACAATTTTTTGTTGATATATTCGTGTAAGCTGATGACGAGATTATATCTTTCCCCTATTTTATTTTTTGTTTAAATTGTAAATTTATTTTTAAATTTGTAAACATTTAAAAAAAAAAAAAATTCTCACACACATCTTTTAAAAAATCTTCTCTATATTTTTAACTTATTTTTCGATGCACTTGCAACTTCTGCTCAGCAAATAAAACTTATTATTCTTTTTCTAAATTTTCTTCTTTCTTTTCACTTTTGACAACTTCATGTCATTTGATAAGCTCTAACAGTTTTAATCTCAATTGAGAAATCCACAATTTAAAAAAAAAATGAAATATAAAGGTTTTGATTTATATCTGGTATTTATTTGCTGTATTTTTTTAAATTAGTTTTTCGATATTTTCTTAACAGCGTGAGCTTATGAAATGCAGATCTCGTGAGAGATAAACTTTTCGCCAACAATGAATAAGTAATTGTTATTGAAAACAAAAAATAGTAAGAAAAAATTAGGAAAAAAGCTCTTAAAATTGCAATAACTTTATTTCTAAAAATATATATGAAAAATATATATATGTATATATATAAAATATATATAAATAATAAATAAAAGAAATTGTACGAGATATTTAATTGAATATTGGCCTTTTTAGCGCTTTAAACTTCAACTCTGTAGCTGCATTCTAGAGGGCATGTCTAATTTTTTTTTGGATTATTTACGTTTTACGTCTAGATTGACATTCAGATTGAGTTTTAGAACGTGAAGATCCGATTAGATCAAAAGTTATTCAGGGTGATCTTTTTATTTTGCACACTGTGAATTTTCCTACATACCATCATGAATTCTAGTTTCCAAACTTGATAGTATTTGCGCAACAAAACAATGTGTAATATTAAGTTTAACATCCAAAAAAGCTTTAATAAACAGATGGAAGTTACTTTACATGATGGTTTTTTTAAAATTTTATTTCAGGAGACCTTCCTTTAGAAAACCCTGACTTGTTTGGTGGAGACATGATGGGCATTGAATTGGACGAAGTAAGATTTCTTCTGAATGAATTTAAATGAAACGTTCTAGAAGCTCTTTTCATTTAAACTGATATAAAGTAAATTTAATAAATTGTTTGACTTAGTACTGACAACTTCAAGGAACTTTAACTGATAAATCCGACAAAATGGTGTAGAAAGTTCTAAAAAAAATTCACAGATAATCAAATTTTGCATTTTTTTTAATAAAAAAAGTAAAAATTGGTACTATTTTCTCCTCTTTCTGTATATTCTAATCAAAAATATTTTTATTTGCGTGTTACCGCAAAATTTTTCGTTTTCGTGCCGGGAAGAAACATAATTTGAAAAAAGGAGTACTTTATTTCTCGAGGGGTGATACCGCGCACCCTTGGTCCCTTCCCAGGCTGATCACTCATTTATTGCATTCAGTGATACTTGCCTTCAGTGCTCTACTAGAAACCATGTCTTTACGATCTGTGGTTTTTTTTTGAAAGAAAAAGACTATCCAGCATAACTTAAACAATTGGAGTCATGTACGGAACCTATTTTCCATTGTAGACGTTACTTATTCCATATTTGTAATTCTTTTTTAGGATCGTAATGCTATTGTGAACAAACTGCAATTTTGGCCCGGTGGCATTATTCCTTATGAACTGGATCCTGGTTTAGATAAAACAGTCAGTAAGTGTCCATCCCTTTACTTTACTCTAAAGGAAATGTGGCGAAAATTAACATAAAGAAAATAACATGAATCAATTCTTCTTAAAAATGTTATTTTTCTTCATGGATATATTTTATTAGACGCATTATAAGATTCTATGTAAAATATTTATTATCAGGTGAGCTTTATTGTTTTTACTGAACCGATTTGAACTTGTTTACGTTCGTGTATCAATTGGTGAAATCAGACGATATATAATGTAAATTCGACGAATGAATAAATTAGGTGATATATTATAAAAATATAGAATACCTGATATATTCAATATAGAATATACCAGGTATTATATTAGTCTATTATAATAACTAGACCAAATTATTAAACTCACCTCAGTTTTTTAATAATTACACGTTTTTCACGAGTTTATATACAATAATTTTATATTTAAAAATACATGTAACTGGTTTTCATTCAGGAGATTTTTTTAGATACTGCCTATTGGTATTTATTTTTAACGTATTGCATTACAATGTTTACCAATTATAATACATATATATTGCTGAATTTTCATTTCGATTTTTTGGCGTTCCTCACACTATTGTATTAATATATTTTGCTTTGGCTATATTTATACAATATTAGAAAACACTCTTTTTTGTGTGGATATAATCGCATGAGCTGATGATGAGATTATATCTTTTTCTTATTTTGTTTTCTGGCTTGTTAATTTTAAAATTTTTTTTAATATGTTCTAAAAAATTAAAAAAAAAACTTTTAACTATTTTTTAAAAATTTAAAAATATTTTATTATAATAATTATTTTCTTTTTAAAAAAATTCTTTATTATATATTTTTAGCTTATTTTATGAGTTCTATGTTCTTGCTGCTCATGAGTAGTAAACTTCTTTGTTACTCTCGTTTTTATTTTTTTTTTAAATCCTTTTTGTGTTATATATGTATATGTATGATACATAGTTCTCCCTTAGAGAAAAAAGACGATAGGGCGCTTCTCCACAGAAAAGGGCTCTCATTTAACGCCGTAAAGATTTATCACATTGTGTTTAAAAATTGCATTTTTAAACACTGTAAAAAAATTGTATGCCTTAAAACTCAAAATGCTTTCGACTATTATTAAATAACAATAGTATTAAATAAAATAATAAATATTTACTGAAAGTTATATTTTGCATGAAATTATCTTTTGCTTCAAAAGTTCAAAAATATGGTGAAATACTCACGAATTAAAATTAACATGAAGAGTTCGAAACTTAGGACAGCTCTTTTGACCAAAATATTGGGACTCGATTTCCCTCATTGCAGGGTTGGCAAGATTTTGCCGCAGGTGGAAAAAACCATGGTAAATACCGGTAAAAACCGTCCTGGCAAAAACAGGTTTTTGCCAAGCGAATTGGCAAAAAGTGGCAAAAACCTATATTTTCCAAGGTGAGAGGACAAATAAACATTTGTGATACATAATTATTCCCAAAATTGAAATATATACTATAAATATAAATAATTACAAAAAAATACCAAAATTATTATTCCATAATGTAATAATATATCATTTTAGTAGTTTAAAACATTATTGATTGGAAAATTTGTGATTATTCTCTTTTTTCCAGTGAAATGAACTTATTTTAAATTAATATAACTATAATTTAAAGCATAAAATATCTANAGAATATACCAGGTATTATATTAGTCTATTATAATAACTAGACCAAATTATTAAACTCACTGCAGTTTTTTAATAATTACCCGTTTTTCACGAGTTTATATACAATAATTTTGAACTTGTTTACGTTCGTGTATCAATTGGTGAAATCAGACGATATATAATGTAAATTCGACGAATGAATAAATTAGGTGATATATTATAAAAATATAGAATACCTGATATATTCAATATAGAATATACCAGGTATTATACTAATCTATTATAATAACTAGACCAAATTATTAAACTCACTGCAGTTTTTTAATAATTACCCGTTTTTCACGAGTTTATATACAATAATTTTATATTTAAACATACATGTAACGGGTTTTCATTCAGAAGATTTTTTTATATACTTCCTATTAGTATTTATTTTTAACGTATTGCATTACAATGTTTACCAATTATAATACTATATATAAATATGCTCTAAGAATAGATTTTTTTTGTAATGAAATAATGACCTCCATTTCACAAGAAGTTCTATGACATCGAATTTTGGCACTCACGCCAAATTTTTTCAACTTTTGAAATGCAAACTATCTTTTGACTGCCGACTTTCCGAACAATCTAGTTCATAATTTTCATGTGACATCATTCGTTACTTCTTTACTCTTTTTACCAATATTTTAAGTAATTTTGTCTGCAAAACCAAATACAACAGAGAAAGTTGAAAACAACAAAATTCAAATCACGATTTTTAGAAACTATGGGAATATTCTTACTAAATCTGGTTTAACTGCTACACTTAAAAATTCACCAATAAGATACTTAATTTCTTTGTTTATTTTATGCAAATTTTTATTTTGCTGGAAAAGTTACAATAACAGTTACAATCGGAGCAGACTTAAAAAGTATTTTCTATTGAAATTTAATTTTTGCTATTTTTGTTTCCGAAGCTTCTTAATGGAACAAGAAATCGTGTGTTTATCACAAAAAAAAGAAGGATTCCCATCTTTTTTAAAGATTAAAACTGATTAAACTTTTTCGATTGTTTCCGAACGACATTGTCGAAACGATTCTCTAGCTATCTCTTATGAGCTGCAATGATGGTCTAAAGCTGTAATTAGACCCAGGAGGTTAAGTGAGATTTTGGACAGAACTAATTTGTATTGAGATTCTGAGTGTTCTGAAAATGAAAATATTTCTTTTCAGCTCCGGCTATTATGACAAATGCTATGTGGCTCTATAAGAGAGATACCTGTATTCGATTTGTTCCCAGGAAAGATGAGAAAGACTACATCAGAATTTTCCCGGGACAAGGGTATGTATTTTAAATGCATTCAGTTGATTTTTAGAATGATTCGCAAACTTTAATCTCCTACTTACTCCTATTTTGATACCAATTAGAAAACAAGTGCCTTTGGAAGGAAAAATAGAAATAACTTGTTCAAGAAGAGTAATGAGTACATACTTGACATATTCAGGACCGACCATGATCACATGTACGAAATTATATATGATTCTCTCCTCACGGCTCATGGTACCATACATGATATCGGCTCAGATCACATAGATATGATCTCAACACGTTACTCTCGTATTAGTACGCATGCGTACTTTTTATTACGTACAAGAGTGGGCGTGGGAAGTGCTTCTTTTGCCATCTGCTGTTTTGTGCTTTACAGTGCATTTCAGTACAGAAAATTTTCATTCAATCTAAATGTTCTCTGATGTCAGCATCTTGCTCGCATAAAATATTTATTTATTATTCTCAGTTTCTTTTTCACCCATTGGCAAAATGGGTTTTGGTTTAGATTTGATGGCGTCCACATACTTTTCAACTGTGTTAAAGAGTAAAAGTAAGCTGTGCGCATGCGTCGCAATTGCATGCGTTGCTATAGCGACCGCTGCTGTTTTTCTTTTTCTTTTCACTAACAGGCATTTTTAATGTATTTACATAATAATAATTTATTCGTATTTTTATATTTTTTTATAAAATATATATTTTTTTTATTAACGTATAATTACTGGCTTGACGGGGATTTCAATATAAATATGAATGCTAAAGAAGGAAACGTATTTCGTGACGTCTTGAAACGCGTACATAGGCAGGATTTGAAAACAAATCCGACGACAAACATCAATGGAGGCAGTTTTTGCAATCCATGATTTGAAGTGTTGCGGCGTTTATCGGAGTCAATCCAGAAACAAAAAGCATTTGACCAATGGGTAAGCAGTGATCGAAATAAAGCGATCAAAACTTTTTTGTTGATTTTTTTTAATTGTTTTTAGGTGCTATTCTCATGTAGGCAAGACCGGAGGGCAACAACCATTATCTCTTGGACAAGGGTGTGGCTATATGGGAACAGTGTTGCACGAGCTGGCCCATGCTATCGGTTTCTATCATGAACAAAACAGATCAGATCGAGACGAATACATAACTATTTTCTGGGAAAACATCAAAGAAGGTTTAGTTATGCCTTTTTTAATTACTAAAATAGTGCTTATGTACGTGGGTTGTTTATTAAGTAAGGGCAGTTTGAAAATAAAAACCAAACGAAAGAAAATTTTCAAGAAGCAAATTTATTTTCAGATTCTACGTACGCTTCTCTTTTTTTTTCCTTCAACATAGTTGCCAGAGGCTGGGATAGCCTGGTTGGTAGGGTAGTGGGCCCATGTCCAAGAGCTTGTGAGTTCGATCCCCGCCGGTTGAAGACTCTCTGTGTTGTAAATGATGACTGTTGCACGTTAAATCTGTCTAGTCGCAAAGTCCTCCATGCTCACATAACAAATCAATACCCCTGAAGGTACTGATCCAGGAGTTTGATTGGTTCAAAATTGGCTCAAAGGCTGCAGAGTTGAGCATTAGTAGTCGTAAACCCAAAATAGGGTCGGCTGTTCAACGATGGTTATAAAATAAAATAAAATAAAATAAAGCATAGTTTTGAAGTTTGTTTAAACACTTATTGCACCTTACAAGTAGATTTAGATTGCCCTCTTCCTACAAACTTGCCGCTTGCTCCGTTAACCAAGAGGTCACAGCCGTTCTCACGTATTTCATAATAGTTGCAGTGATGGCCCAAAAAATGATGGTTGAAATATCGGAAAAGATGAAAAATCACTCAGACAAGATCTGGACTGTAGGGGGTTGGTCCAAAACTTCCCAACCAAAAGAGTTCAATATAGCTGGGATCTGAGTTGCAGATCCCAGCTTAGCGAAATTCCCAGTCAGCATGGCATGAAATTTCGCTACTTCTCAAATTGCTACTTCACAAATCTGCCAGTGAATGTATGCAGCAGACAGATTTTCTGCAGACTAAAAACGCATCACTGACAGCATCTCTTTCTTGGCGGGAGATTTGTTAAATTAGAACATTTTAAAGATACAGAACTAACCGTACAATTTACCTACACAGCTGTATCTGAGCACAGTTGTTCCCAAGGAAGGCTGGAACACGACTCAAGTACTCGTTACGACTCAACCGTCGTTGAACAGCTGACCCAATTTTAGGTTTACGACTACAAATGTTCAACTACGTAGCCTTGTAATTTTGAACCCAATCCAGAAGACAAGGGAACTCCTGGATCAAGTATTGGAAGAAATTTGCCTTTGCGGAGGACTTTTTGATGGAACTATCCCGCATTTGCGTTACATGGAGAGGAAGACAACGGGAACCTCCCGAGGTTAGTCTGATGGCAAGGGGACTCTAACCCACTGATGATATTTTACGTCAGCACTGTGTCGGTGCGAGCCAGGTAAGGAATTGGTGGGATTCGAACGCGCTCCACCTCATTAGAAGGCGAACGCTCTATCTCCTGAGCCACCACGGCGCTATCTAGTCATCTGCACCGTCTGTTTAGGAACTTTGGAACTCTCATTGGAACTCCTACTCTCATTCTGGAGCTCCTACTCTCATTTTTATTTACTTTTTATTCTTATATTTTTTTTGTTGCTTTCGAAATCAAGTTAAACATGAGCTAATAAAATGTAGAATTCGACAGGAACAAATTCTTTAATAATTAGTGAATAAAGGAATGCTTAAATAAACATTAGTGGATAAATATCCGTTAACTGAAGCAAGATTCAAAATACATTATTGTTTCTTTACAGGTTTGGCGGATCAGTTTTTCTTGTTGAAACCTCACCAGAATCAGCTTCTCTCTCCGTTTGATTACGATTCCATCATGCTGTATGGCTCTTATACATTCTCCAAAGACTGGAGGAATCTTAAAACAATGTTGAGGAAAGACGGTGGCCTTATAAAGGACGTGATCAGAAAGTACATGTATAGTAAATCGGATATTGCCCGAGTCAACAAATTGTATGATTGCCCAAACCGTCCTAAAGTCTAAACAAAATAAAGTCACATATGTTTTCATATAGTTGTTTGACTTTTATTTTTCTTTAATGTGAGTTATATGTTATAGAACACCGTCCTAGGTTATTTCGTTTTATTTAACAACCAGCATTGTACATTCAACCCATTTTTGGGTTTTAGACAATCAATGTTGAATTTTGAACTTAACCCAGAAGACAAGGGAGCTAATGGATCAAGCACTGGAACAAAGCATCACTAAATGGAGGATTTTTAATGGAATTTACAAGCATTTGCGCGTTACATAGAGAGAGAAAAAAACCCACAAAAACCTTCCGCGGTTAGCCTGACGGTAAGGGGATTGTAAACCTTGATCCGTCTACCATTGAGGATATTTTGTGTCAGCACTGATCTTTGTGTGAGCCTAGGGCACAATTTAACGCCAACCGAAGTTTCGACCACTTTAAAACAAAAACAGACACAAAATGTTTCGTCAAACCCAAAACAAGAACAGTGGACACCATTAATTTCCGTAATACACTTCCACACCAACGATTATCAAAATCCAACGTTTATCGAAAAATGATGTGGAAAAAAATAAAACTGTTTCCTCTTTTTTTAGTTCAATGGTAAAGTATAGTTTTTAAATTTTCATGTTGCTTTATTACAAGTCATTTTATTACAAATTTCAAGTATAAATAGAAACAACTTTTATAAAAATCCATATATTGTTGTATTTATATATTGAACACTTATTTGTAAGAAGAAAAAAAATATTTAAGTGGTAAAAAAACCAGAAAATAAATTAAGAGAAAACGAATCTTGACAACATTTTATTTTATGTAAAAAAAAACAAAAAAAAAAAAAAAAGAACTCATTAAGATTCCGAGTGATGTAAATAATAGTATATTATGTAAGATTTATCATTTTGATAATTTTAAGGGCAACAAATTATAATAAGGAAAGAAATAGTTAGAATTATTTTACCTTTATTAATTCTTCTGGGATTTCTATTACATAAACCCCTAACGAACAGGAAAAGAGGTAGACCCAGGCTGAGATGGCTGGATTTAGTTGAGACTGATTTCCTTACTCTAAAGGAGAAAAACTGGCGAACAAGTGTCAAAAGTAGAGAGAAGTGGATTCGAATTCAAAGGAAGGCACTGGCCCACCCTGGGCTGTCTAGTCAGATATGATGATGATGAATTCTTCTGGGATGTACCTTTCAGTTTTGTCCATTATTTTGTAGCGTTCGGGTTCAAAGTTGACTTATTGATATTTTTTTGATTTTATTCTACCCGTAAGAGGTATATTCTACTAATAATAAATAAAATTGTCATTAAGAACTTTTATTACGGATAAAACTATTGAGTAATATCGAAGTTTTGTAGTGTACGATTTTATAGAAATTAATTAATCGATATATTATTGCCAGATATGATGGATTTGGATTGCATGATTCAAAATTAATAATAATAGTAAAAAAAACTCTACGATCAATGTTATTTGTTTCCATTAATGTAATAATTGGGTTCTTGCACTTCAAGAAGAAGATCTCCCATACCCTCACATACGACTTGTGACGTCAGCTAATCTTTATCAGCAAAATGACGTATTAAAATTGAGCTAAGTTTCTCTACATAAGTTAGAATGTTAATTAACGATTAGTTGATTAAATACATTGCCGTATCGAACATCGAATTAATTGAAATATAACTATTTCTCATCTATTTCTTTTACTTAACTTAGTTTATTATTTGCTTATGTATTTTACTGTAACCGTCATATATTTTTGTTTTGTGTACTTGGCAATTAGTTTGTTTATGTTCCACGTGACTTCTTGCCTGTCTTTGTGTTAAGTCTCTGTGTAAATACATATTGAAAGAATTGAAATATTTTAGAAAGAATCTTTGCGTAAGAATATAGAATGCGTCACTGAGGAGAATTGATATTTGACGGTCTTGGCTTACTCGAAATAGAATGGAAAGAACAGTTGCTAACTCTAAAAAATGCCACGTTTCAGCAGCCAATCAGGGTCGAGATACCCACACTACGTTACTTGTAGGCATCCCATAGGTTTTCATTACGCATGGTGAAACATTAGACATGAACAACAATTAAAAACAAATTTTTCGTTGAATGTGACTGCTAATTCAGTTCAGTCAATGTTTATAATTTTGTTTAGATAACTGAAATTTTATTTACATTTAAAGTTTATTTAAAATGGGATACCTACAAGTGACGTAATGCGGGTACCTTGCTCCTGATTGGTTGTTGAAACGTGGTGTTTGTTTGCGCTTGCCACTGTTTTTTTCATTCTTTCTCGAGTAAGCTAAGCCCTTGAAGTATCAATTCTCTTAGGTGACACATTTTATATTCTTTCACAAAGATTTAAATTTTTTCGCTGCATATTTCTTATTTAACACAAAGATAGGCACGAAGCCATGTAGAACATAAACAAAATTATAATGCATTGAAGTTGCCAGGTACGCAAAACAAAAATATATCGCGGTTACATTAAAATACATAAACAAATAATAAACCTCTGTTAAGTGAAGGAAATAAACTGCAAATAATTATATTTTAACAAATTCGATGTGCTATATGGGTCTGTATTTAATTAACTTAACGTTGATTTAATACAGACGTTAATTTAATACTACATTTTATTAACTTAACGTTAATTAACATTTTAAGATACGTAGAGAAATTTAGTTCAACTTTAATTCTCCATGTTGCTGATAAAGATTTGTTGGTACTGACGTCATAAGTCACGTGGGTGGCACTTCTTCTTGAAGTGCCAATTGTACCAATAGTACCCAATTGTTGAAACACTACGTGTCGTAAACACTACATTAAATTCACCTTGATTCTGTTAGAAAAGTTTTGCTATAAATAAAAGTGGTAGTTATTCAAAATAAAATAATTGGTTTTTCGATCTCTTGCTCAACGGAAATTTTATTCAGAACTATTTTGAACACGGGTGTAAATTAAGTTCTTCAGCCTAGTTCGTCTTCTAAAAGTAGTGACTACATCTCTAAAGTAGATTGTAGTCGCTACTTTTCTAAAAAAAAGTAGTTGTAGCTGAAATTAACTGCATTTGTAATAAAGTAGTTGTAGTTAGCTACAAAAATAATGAAGTTTTTTCCGACTACTGAGTCCATTTAACGCAGTTCCTCTAACTCTGCAACCAATTGAATGAGTGTTGTAATTAAACGGCAAATGTTTCCTGCAATTGTCTGCAAAATGTTTACCGATTGTAACTATACGACATTTGTATGAATCGTGAGGAAATTGGAAAATTCTCTTTAGTTTAACTATCAGTGTTCAATAAGCTCATTTACTTTAGTTGTATTGATCAGATTTTCCACGGACTAAGCACCAATCGTATTGGTTCAAAGAGAGGGTATCAAATATGTTAATAAATTAGTGAAGATGATATGTTAGGTTAATAAGGAACTGATGAAGATATACTAAATACATTAAACAGCACTGCAATAAAAATGTCAGTTAAAAAAACTTCAAGTATTTATTAACATTATATAATCTTATGCATCGATAAAATTTGTAACGCAGAAATCATAAAAAAAGCAAAACCGATTGGAGAGGAAATACGTAAAGGAAAATGAATTGGTCATGTTCTACGGAAACCGGAAAGATTTGAAGTAAAAAAATTTTTTGATTGGAGCCCTCTGGGCAATAGGAAAAAGAGGAAGGCCTAAAAATACATAGTGCAGGACGATTCTAAGTGAATTGAAAACAATAGGAAAGACATGGAGAGCTGTGAGGGAAGCCTTATGCTTGAAATCAGGGTGAAGAGGAATATGTATGTATATGTTAGATTACGAAATCAGACACAAAACGAAATTTTTTTGAATAAACATAGTATTTTTTTGGATTTTTGACGAGAAAAATTATAACTGGAAAACAGGGTCCCAACTCTTCAGTCACAGGTTTATTTCGTCATACAGCCGGCCAGGTCATATAGCCGACCTCGCATTACGTCATATAGCTGGCCAGGTGGCCGGGCAGTTAGCGTGCATGACTGCGAATCCAATGGCTGCGGGTTCGAATCTCGCTCAGAGCATGGGTATTTCTATGTATTGTTCTCCTTTTTTTATGAATGTGGCTCATCTGTGGCAGTGTGGCGTAGGTAATGCTGCGCGCCTCCGTGACTTTGGCCACAAGAGGTGCTCACCAGGCTACGCAAAATGAGCAACACTACCGGCACCTTACTTGGCGAAGAACGAAAAATTCAGTGCCTGTCGTTAAAAAAAAAGTATTTCGTCATACTTTGAAAAGTTATTAAGCAAAGTAGAAAATATTTTTGCCCAAAATTATAAAATTCCTTTATTTAAGACCTTGATCAAACATTTTTTGAATTGTAAGGTGCACACATTTTTGTACTATATTAAACGAAGACGCTATTCAAAAAGTTGAAATTGTTCGCTTAGTTTTTGAAGAATATAATTTATAAAGAAAGCAGTATTTTTAAACTGCAAGATTTATGTAGTAAGCGTTTTTACACTAATACAGACATTCGAAATGCAGTATAAGCTTCTAATTTATAACAGCAGCGATATTCAATAGGATTAATTGTTTTTATAAAATTTCAATTGCTTCAAAAAAGTAAGAAGATGATTATACACTGAAGAGCCATTATATTATGACCATCCTGCTAATAACATGTCGGACCACCTTTAGCCCTCAAAACTGCTAGCACCCGCCGTGGCATTGATTCCACAAGGTGCTGATAGGTAGTCTGAGGTATCTGGTACCAAGCGCTCACCAACTGGTCCTGCAATTCCCTCACATTGCGAGGGGGTAGCGTGGCAGCACGAATTTGGTTTTCCAAGTAGGACCACAAATGCTCTATTGGATTAAGGTCAGGTGAATTTGGGGGCCAAGACATGACTTGAAAGTCACTGGAATGTTCCTCGAACCAATCCATGACGATTCGACCCTTATGACATGGTGCATTATCCTGTTGGTAAACACCACCCCCGCAGGAAAAACTGCTGCCATAAATCGGTGAAACTGGTCTGCAACTATGTTCAAGTAGCTTACAGACGTCAGGGATTGTTCTAAGAGGATTATGGGTCCTAATGTGCCCCATGAAAACATTGTTCCTAGACGAGAAACCATGAAAATCTGGCTGAGCCCATTGTTATAGATAGAGGGTGATCATAATGTAATGGTTCTTCGGTGTATATTTCGAGTGCTAAATCATATCTTTTTTTGTTCTCCATTTATTAGAGAGACAAACTTTCTTTCAACTGCCTTGAAAAACAAGTTATATTGAAAAACTTTCTCTTAATATTTCTTTCAACAAATTAATTTTTAATAAACGTTCCATATCAAGAATAAACTGTAGAGTTAATCTCGTTATCAACGCATCTGGGGGAATGTATGCACCTGCACATTTATTCACAATCTCGAAGGTATATATATTTTTTAAATCAGTACACGATTAGTATCAGAATGGCATCGACGTTGATACTGTTTATTTTGTTTATTGGGTGCAGTAGCGGGCATCCCATAGGTAAGTACTCATGTAAAACAAATCAAAATTATTTTATACTGCCGTGCATTTAAAAAATAACACACAAAAAAAATATCAAAATTTAGAATTTTATTTATTTGGTCTTTTTGTATAATAAGCTATATATAGCAAAATAAATTTTTTTCCTTCTCAAAATTAAGTTTTGTTATCAGTTTTCTGAAATTTTATCTTAGTTTTGTCAGTGGAAACGAAAATACTTGTCACAGTGTTATATTCGGAAATTTATCGGGAAGCACTATTTCTTTTTTAAGTGCACTGTAGAATACTCGTAAGTGCTTGACCCATTCTAGAAAATGGTACAAAACTTTACTCCAGTAAGTAAATAATAATAAATGTATCTGATTTTCATAGGATGTCCTTCGTAGTCTAGTTATTTCGACTGCAAAGGATTTGAAAATTTATTAGGTGATGGATTTAAAAATGCAGTCTTATCTCGCTAATTTTTCTTCACCATAAATTGTTCGTTTTTTTTTTCTCCAATTTTTTTTTCTTTTTAAATTTTCTTTATTATATTTATCAACAAAAGGCAATATCAAGTGTGGGATGTATCTTCTTTTACTTTCAAGTTACACTCGAAAGCAATTTTTTTCACACTGTTTGGAAAAAAAGTCTTATATTCCTTTCATATTTTTTTTATCCATTAATTTACTATTTATAAAAATCCAGAGATGGTGTCGCAGCTTCCATTGTTGTCCATGCATTTTCATTGGCCAGAAAATCACGTGGTAGGATCTAGTTTTATCTCATTCATTTCCATATTGTTTTGGTTGCCATCAGCATTAAATTAATAGAAGTCAAAAAGATAATCTTTTTCTATAAATATTTTTGTATCCCGAATTTTAAGATATTTTCCGGTACTGTTATTATTAATGCTTTTATTAAGCAAGCCAACAGTTCAATGTGAAACATCCCTCTTCGAAGTAGGCGCGTTAAAATCGTAGTGATCGTTTCGACCAAGGTTGGCGTGTTCACATCACGTCCGGGTCACCAATGTGGGGAGAGTTGAATTCGTCCATGTCAACCGTCATCTATGAAAAGGTATCCCACCATAGAATCGAGTTAACATGTCTTATATACTAGGGAATTGGAATTATATTTTTTGTAGTGGTAGACAAGCTACACCTGTAATATTTTTTGCACAAATTAGTTCGCTCATTTAAGGTGAATTAAAAACTTTAAAATTGCATTTAGTATATGAAACTCCAATGACTAGAACATAATTTATTCAAGTGTTTTGCTTTTTTTCTTCGTAGTACCAGATAGATTCATTGCATTTAAGTTTTCCATCCATTCTTGGAAGAAAAATAACAGGAAGATGGTTTGTCTTTCACACTTCATTCAAGGAAAACTAATTTTCTGTATGTCATTTGTTGGAACAAAAATACTTTGTATACGTCAAACTTTAATGATATTTTAACTATTTATAAGGTTGTGGGATAAATTTAAATGAATGAATGAAATTGAAGTAATGAATTTGGCTTTGCGCCAACTTCATTAGTTTTTGAAACGTCGACGGGAAGATATTTACTCATCTATGATTTCTCTGACCATCTGTTGATTACTTCTGCAAATAAAATAAAAATATCGATAAAGGGCTTAATTTGCATAAAGAGTAACAGTGAAAGTTTGCATGGGGATCAGAGAGGGGTCAACACTGGAGAGCTATTTTCACTCGTGCGAAATGCGTTCATTTAATTGATAATTTCCTATTGGGTTTATTTGTATCCTTAGAGTTTAAGAGCTCGGTTATTTACAAGCTCTCAGATGTTCAAACTTGTGGCCAATTCTTCACGGTACGTAAAATTTTGAAAATTCAGTTTCCCGAAAAAAGAGACTCAAAAATCAAATTAACTATAGATATGAATTGCAAAATTCAAAATATTGCATAGGTAGAGAGATCGCTAAAATTTTTACCGAAGTTGTGACCTGTTTAACATCACAAGTTTCAAGCTCATCACAAGTTTGTGAATACGCTAAACAGAATTTATCGTCATATTATCGTCTATCAAACTTCTGGGTTAATTTAGGGGCTCGAAGTTTCAAGCTCATCACAAGTTTGCGAATACGTCAAACAGAATTTATCGTCATATTATCGTCTATCAAACTTCTGGTTAATTAAGGGGCTCGAAGATTCACGCTCATCACAAGGTTGTGAATACATCAAACAGAATTTATCGTCATTTTATCGTCTATCAAACTTCTGGTTAATTGAGGGGCTCGAAGATTCACGCTCATCACAAGTTTGTGAATACGTCAAACAGAATTTATCGTCATATTATCACCTGTAAAACTTCTGGTTAATTGAGGGGCTCGAAGTTTCAAACTCATCACAAGTTTGTGAATGCGTCAAGTAGAATTTATCGTCATATTATCGTCTATCAAACTTCTGGGTTAATTTAGGGGCTCGAAGTTTCAAGCTCATCACAAGTTTGCGAATACGTCAAACAGAATTTATCGTCATATTATCGTCTATCAAGCTTCTGGGTTAATTGAGGGGCTCGAAGTTTCAAGCTCGTCACAAGTTTGTGAATACGTCAAACAGAATTTATCGTCATGTTATCATCTATTAAACTTCTGTTTAAGTAAGGGGCTCGAAATTTTTCTAGCTTAGTGACACCTGCCTTTGACGTTAATGCAAGTTATAATCATCGTGATTTCATCGCCTAAAAGAAACTATTATCTATTCCCAAAAAAACTTTCAACTTGCTAAAGTGTTTAAATTTCAACTGAAGTTCTATATTTCATTATTACTTAATATTCAATGATTTCTGCAAGTTCCTATTTCCAAAGGATCCAATTTTGCGTTAAGGATCAATTGCGTAGAATTTGATACATCAAAAAGCTTCTCATACGCAAATTTATTTTATTTTAGCGTTTGTTACTTCTTTATTAATGAAATGTAATGTTTTTATTAATTTAAATTATTCTTTATTAATGTAAAATGAAACAATTTATTATTGATTGATTCAAAAGAAACATTTGATAATTTTTTTCAAAAATGGATTGAGATTGGTTTATTTAAATTTTGTTGCTTTAATACACAATCTCACGTCCTAACTCCCTATTAGGGCTTTTGTGAACATAATTATCATTTTATAAATCTTAAATTACAACTTTGAATAAAACAACTTATAAAAACCATGTGATATCAGAAGGAAAGAAGAAGACATTCAATAATTTTTAGTTTTTATTAAAGAAAAACTAATTTACAATAGAGAGAACAAGCATCTTAAAAAGTTTTCATTTGTCTGAATTTAAGTATGTATAGTTCTTCAAACTATTGGAAGCTCTACTTTAATTCATGTAGTTAGTTAACCTAAGTTCGATACGCTTTTAAATTTCTTTCGTTTATTGAATTCTTGTACTAAGTCCAGTTGCTTTTAGTCATTGGCAAGTTCTTGAGGCATTTAGCTTGCAAGAAGTTCAACGCATTCGAACTGGAATTTCAATGAATACAAAAAAAACTTTAATTTCTTCATTTACCAGTTTGTTAGAAGGCTGCCTGACAAAAATGTTTGCTGTAAATTCGATGTTTAAGCTTTCTTTTTGCTGTGGAGTCTTCGCTTCCTTGCTTGTTGAACATGCTCAACAAAATCCTAGAAATCGAATTGAGTTTTATAGCCTTGATGGTGAAACGAAATAGCAGCCATTAATAAATGATCTGGTTTGAAGAAAGAAATCTCAATAATGTCTACAGATGTGGGTAATAATTTACAAAATACAGTAAAAAAGTTTGTTTTTTTTTTAAAAAAAGATCAAGCTTATGTTTTTTGTTGAGCAATTGTCCAGCCTAAAACTAGCATATGTTTCACATCTCTGAAGTAAATAGAAAATCGACTTTCTCCTTTCACTTATTGCTTTCTCCACAAGGCAGCGAATTGTTTAGCCTTTCTTTTTTTACCAATAAGTACAGTACTTTCATTAAATACCATCATACTACAGGACTTCTTTGAAAGAATCCATTCCTGGCAGCGCAATCACCTTTTGTAGATCAGCACGAAGTATTAGGTGTCTGTGGGCGACTGCCGCTTAGAGAAATATTGACAGTGTTCTTTATACAAATATAAATAGCGTGTTTCTTAATAGATATATAGGTAGTACTTTTTTTTAAAGAGATACACATAGCCATTCTCTATAGATAGCGTGTTCTTTATAGAGTTTGCAATTTTCAGCTTCTTCAGTGTGATGCATCCAATTAATCCAAGCCAAACAATTTGGTGATAAAGCATCCTTATCGTTGTTCCTCAAATTCAAAGCTTAAGTCTCATTCTTCATGACCTATTTTTGTACACGAAGTCTTCAACTAATTAAGTTCCTTCCTTTCACGGGTCTTAATAACAGCCATCAGACTTTCCATCTTTTNGCAAGCTTCCGATAATATTTGGCAATTTTCCTCTCATCCAAATCCCCAGCATGATCACTCTTGCATCCAGAGCAAGAGCTCAAATTGGCGAAATATCGCCTCAATCTCTTAAGCCACTTCATGACTTAAAAATTAATCAATTTGCAAATAAATCTCCTTGAAAAATATTCAAGATAGCGCCCCAAATACAAAGTTTGGAATGACAATAATCACTAGTTTAATGCATCTCTTTAAACAATACTGACACATTGTTGCATTTAGAATAGTTGTGTTTTGTGATTTTTCTGTTAACAATGAGCAACAAAACTAATATTTTCATTGTTATAAACTAGACACTGGGGGTTCCACGTTCGGCTGACCACTTGACCGGAACATCTGCTCCTGCACCCCAGAGCCCAAGGTCAAGAAAACTGAGATGGGCACAGTAGGCCTTGGCCCAGTATGGGCTGTCGTGCTGCTGAGTTCAGTTTAGTTTATCTAATACAAAATATCTAATACGCTACGTTGTTTTCCACTCTTTGAAATCACAAATTATTTTTTTTGTGTGTGTTAGGTGTTCGTTCATATTATTATTTTTCTTCGAGTTCATTACTAGTTATAAACACGGATTTCATAA